GAGTGTGGGAAGAGGTTTAAACGCAGCTCACATGTCATCCAGCACCAACGGACACACACGGATGAGAGGCCCTTTCGCTGCAGTGACTGTGGGAAGGGCTTCAACCAGAACTCCGCCCTCAAAACCCACCAGCGCATCCACACCGGGGAGAGGCCCTACAAGTGTGGGGAGTGTGGGAAGAGCTTCACCGACAGCTCTGCCTTGACCAAACACCAACGGACCCACTGGTAGGGGAAGCCCTGACTGCAGGAAGAGCTTTGGCCACTGCTTCCACCCTGAATGAAGCCCCTGATGGTGAGGCAACCCCTGGAGTCCAGTGACGTTCAGTAGTTTAGTGGAAGTAGACTCTAAAAGCAGCAACCCTCATTCCCTCCCTTACTTCCCTTTCCCTGTAGCACCCTTGTTTACACATTCCTTAACCCTCTTACCCCATTCTATGCTCCCTATATCATTCCTACCCCCTAATCCAGTAGAAATGTTTAGTCTTTTGTCAAGGCAAGGCCTAGATTGTTGACAGAACAGTGTATCTTGGCCTAAACCACAGAATACGGTCAAGAATTAGGTAACTCTGTACCCTTTGTGCTCTGAAGAAGATGAAAATGGGATGAACAGAGAGTCCAAACCCCAGACCCCTTTTCACGGGGTGGACCTGGGGTGGTCCAGAGTAAAGGCCACAGGGTGGACACATTTGGGATTGGATAGATGGTATTATAAAATGTAACATCTGGGGCACAGGGGGCCGCGCGTCTTGTAACATTTTCTGCCTTGGCAAATAAACCCTTTCTTATCTCACCCCTAATTAACTTCTCCGAGAGATTTTTTCAGCACCTACATCCCACGGCAACAAGGGACACAGGGAGGTCCCCATTCACGATCCATCCCAGGGCCAGTTCTGCCCCTCCCCAGCTCGCATGCCACCTTTGGGATCCCCCCCCTCCCCCACTGCCCTCCAATAACCGGGACTTGGGAGAACTGGGAAGCTTTCCTGGGATCACTGGGAGCAGCTGGGCAGAGGCAGAGTGACAGCAGGGGAGGGGGGGACACACAACCTCCCCAAAATACATGCAGGGATGGGGAGGGGATCCAGGCTGGGCCCAAGGCCCTGGGGAGGGGCTGCAGCCACTGCCGGCTCAGGAGCTCTGTGGGGAGAGAAAAGGGGGTGACACCGGGGTGGGGGGTCCCCAGGGGGGCACAGACGCTCTGGGGGGACACACGACCCCCTGGGACCCCCCTCACCTTCTGGCACAGGTAGAAACTGAGCCCCAGCACCAGGGAGACGAAGCCCAAGAGGAAGCCCCCGGCCCCTCCTTGGCAGCAATTCCTCAGGCTGATGGAGCCCAGCAGGGCTGGGGCCGCCGGCGGTGTCCGATCCCGGCAGGAAGCGGGGAGGGCCCGGCGGGGTCTGATAGAAATAAATCACGGCAGATCTCTCTTTCTTTCACCCCCTGGGCAGGGACCATCAAGAGCTGTCCCTGCTTCACAGCAGAAGCTCCACACACTTCAGAAAGTCTGTGGAAGAATCTGCTCTAGGAAAGTTGGCCCTGGGCTTTTATGCTTTGTCACTGATGGATCTCCAGTCACATCTTCCCAGGCCAGTGAGCAGCTGATCTGTCAAACTCTGCTTCCAAAAGCAGCATGTGTGTTGGAAGGTTGGGGAACCAGGCTGGGTTTGGCACAATTCAACACTAAACCAACCCCTTGGCACCAGCAGTAACTCCCTACAGAGAGCTTGCAGTGCTTGCATTCTCCCATCAGATTCTTTTCCAGGTAGAACATCCTGCTACAAGGGGTCTGTTACCACCCGCCCCAGAAAGGAGGGGGTAACCCAGGTTCTTATTAATAAATCCCTTGGGGTGGATTAGAGTGAAACAACACTGAATAATTGGTGTTTGAAAATATATATATATATGTAGGGTTTATTTTAGAACAATTTTGTTTCAAAGCTAAACAGGTATGTTGCCATTTTGGATGTTATCATCTCTATAATCCCAACCCAGCAGCACTGCCAGGCAGCAGCAGTGCTTGGTCTTTGCAGAGCTGCTCTCTTACCACTTCCACACTGTCCTCCTGAGCCCCTTTCTCACTGTAAGGCCTGAGTGCTCTCTGAGCACAGTCCTGGGGGCTGGAAGCCCTTGGAGCACAGGCAGGGACAGGCCCTGGGAACTTGTGAAGCAGAGCTGGGCTGCCTTCCAGCATCTCCAGGATGCTGTGGGATCTTCTGAGG